TTCAGTCACGGCGGCCTGCCTCAACGGCGACTAGCCAACGGCGCAGGACTGTATTATAGTGCCCAAGTGTATGCGCAAGTGCAGGCACATATTCTCTATTCCCTCACTCTCGTGATCCGATGGGACGGTAAGCCGGCACGACCGGAGAGAGATCAGGCGCAGTACCAACGACTTTACGTGCTTTCCGAGGCACGGGGGTAAGACACAGCCAACTTCCTGACTCCGTGCAGCTACTGAGAATTTCTTGACAGAAAATCGATTAGCCCGCCGGGATTCGAAACTAAGACCTCACGATCAGCAGTCGCACCACTACAACCACTAGACCAACGAGGCAGCCAAAGGAGGAATACTACCATAGTTGCATGCTTGCTGCCTATTAAAGTCCAGTTGCCGAAGAGGCCTCATGCATAGATGCCTCATAAGGACAATTTTGGCACAGTATTTCTAAATTTTGAGTTTTTATCAAGATGAAGAGGCTGCCCATCTCCTGTTTCAGTTTCCCTTTATCGCATGTTACGATATCCACGGGACTACGGATATATACGGGACGTTAACGAGAAGTAGATATTCTTACCTCGCCACTATAGAGTTACTTTTTTATAATTTAATACTGTAAACACCATTTTGTTAAAGTAGTGTTACTTTACGCACGAATGGTCATTCAAAGATGTTGTAAGAATCGATAGTTTTATTTTTTTCATTGAAAGAATATTTCGTAAATTTAAATGAACGTTACCAATCGGTGTCGGTAGCGAAAAGTTCAATGAACTAAGTATGTAAATATTACTTCTTTAGTTCTGACGTAAATAAAAAATATGTTGCAATTATTAATATTAAGATTTAATAATATTTTATAGCTTTTTGTTTTTTATTTTTATTCTAATAATAAATTACTCGTATTTAATGATTCTTAATATTAAACTTATACTGTGTAGTAACGGTATAAAAATATCCACTACCCCATATCATCCCTTGGGTGTCGTAACCGTGAGTTTGCACTGACACGTTTTTCACAAAAAAAAAAAGACATGTTTTAAACACTGTTTTCTGTCAATGTATCAAAAATTCGTTTGCATAGTCAAAAACATGTTGTAATGAAATATGTTTTACAGTTTATAGTACATTACATATTTTAACTATATATTTCATTAATCACATATCTTTATAACTACAGGAACGAAATGTTTGAAAACAAATTTGCAGAAATATTTTTATGTTGAGAGATAAGTTTGAATATCTGTTGAAAATTTTACACAGTTTTTGTGAGTGCGAGCGCCGCCATCAACAAAACATTGTGTGATTTATTTTATACGATTTGTTTCAAAACATTACGTGTTGGATGTTTCTCAGTGCAAACGTATCAGTAGATGATAATATAATATAATAATAATATAAAAATAATAATAAAAAATGTAATAAATATAGATAATAAAATAAAAAATAATGATGATTAATATTAAAGTGTAGATGCGAAAGAGAGAAACAAATCAGGAGATGAACAGCAGTGTTAATATTCCTAATAACGACGAGGCGTATGTCCCGTAGTGGTTTTTAATAGGCTGTAACGATCTTAACAATACCATTAGTGTTGTCGGGGATTAAACCCGGGTTATTCGCCGCTGGAGGAAAAACATCGCGAAGAAACCGGCATATCGGAGGCATATAAATAATATAAATTTCGAGTCAATATTAATTTTTAGAAAAAAAAAAAACATTCAACTCTATATTCGTAATTACACCGTCGTTTTAATGATATATTGAGTCGTATATTAGATATTTTTAAATATTTTTTATTAAAAAAATAAGTTTGTGTATCATGAATAAAGTTTACATACATACATTTCACATGGATAAATCTCTAGAAAACACCGGGATTTTTTAATAGCCCGTACAAATACTGGTACCGTGTGGGATTCGAACCCGCGGCCCTTAGCGCTGCAAATCATTGCTAAGCCACTGGAACATGGCGCCGTCGAACCACGTTGATTATAATATAACAAAATAAATAAGACAAAACTGGACTTTACTATGGCTTTCAACCTTCAACCTCGTCTTTTGAAAACGTAGAATGTGTTCAAGGTGGATTTGGACTAAAGTGACTTCCTTTTACGTATTATTGAAAGTGATCAAATTTGTAGCTACAAGTGCACGAGCGAACATAGTTCAAATCGTAACCTATAACCATAATCGGATAATATATATAATAGATCTGAGTTTCTCAGATAAAACTATAAGCACAGATATAATGAAAATTTTTAACGTTAGATTAACATTAAAGTTTAAATTTAAAATTAAAGTAAATAATCATAATAACCATTTGGAAGATAAAAACGTGCAATTTATTTTTAATATACTTCAAAAACGAAGGTTTTATATATTTGAAGCCTATGTTTTTTTTATTTCATGGAAATGGCTAAATCGATTCACAATATTTTTATTCACAATTAGGTTATATTTCATATACATGTAAAGAAAAAATACCGCCCTTAGGGGTGCAAATATTTTACATTTTTAGTTTTTGAAGTTGGTTATTAATTTTTATCAAAAGTTTTTTTAAATATAATAACAGTGACAAATGACCGCACAGTCCACTTCATGGTAAGTGGATTCTGCAGCAGTATACATCAACATTTATCCTCAGTTAAGAATCAAAAGGCAGATGGTTTGTTAACCCTGAGGACTAATATGGAATGCCTCCTTCCAGTAAAAGGGGTATCCAGTTCTCTACACTGACATTAAGAAGCACAGCAGCATCAAGCAGCTACTTTACGCTGGTATTTTATGAGAACGTGGTCTAGCCTACCTACTATCTGGTCTGGGTCTGGTCTACCCCGATCGAGCCGACCCATTCGTGCTACAACCATAATAAAGCTGCAGCACGGCTCTTCCGCGTACAAGTTTAATAATGGATATTGATTTTACTAAATCATTATTCGTCGAACAATAATTCACACTTGCATTTCAACTAAAACTTTATCAAAGATTCTATTCAGTATTGTGGGAGAACTTATCTTTAACCTTACCCTATTGTTGTCAACGTAAGACATTGACAACGAATTTATTTCCCATAGCATTTTAATTGTCATTTTATCATTATTATCTGTTTATACACGCATAACATTGGGTGCGTTTGGCAGAAAAAAGCGCTAGCAAGCGCTTATAAGCGCTGAAATAGTTTTCGGCCAGGACACGATTGCTACTTCAGTAGCGCTGACACAATCCGCCATTTTGCTTATTTAATTTGTTTGTTTTGAAGTAGAGTTTATAAGTTATTTTGTGCAATATTAGTTTTAAGTAATATAATGACATGAATAAACATATACATGTTATTAAAATTCATGATTGGTAAGTTTTTAATATGTATACTTTACAAACATATATTTAAATTAGGTTAGGTTCCCCGGTTAAAACTAACATCGTGTCCTGAAGAAAAATAGCTACTTACGATTTAACAGCGCTTACCGCTTACGATCGCCATTTTGCTTACAAGCGCTTGCTAGCGCTTTTTTCTGCCAAACGCACCCATTAGCTTGACCCGTATGTAACTATTATGTATTTTTAACTGACGGGTCTATGGCACAGTAGCTTATGAATGAGTTACGGTGCTGAGGGCCGCGGGTTCGAATCCCGCACGGAACAAGTATTTGTGTGGCCTATAAGTAATTGTTCCAGGTCTGAATGTTTGTCCTTGTGCAATTTATGTACGTAAACAGCCTTTTACGATACAGAAGAAAATCCTAGTGTGGGGGTTACTTCTTCTAAAAAAAATACTTAAATAGTTTTTTAAATGTGATAGGATTTTAATACTTCAGTTTTCATCCACTTCCGACGTCTGAATTTTCAGAAATTTTGCCGAATTATTATGAACCGATAACAATACAATTATTTCTTGACTATGATTTAGTATTTTCGCCAGAATTACCACAGCTCATGATTAATACGTGTAGTTTAAGTTTTATTAGTTCTAATATAATTAATTATTTAATGATGGATGGAGCCTACGAGACTACGCCTTTTTGAGATAAATTATGATAATAGTTGGATTAACGGTGGTGGTAACAGGGTCCACATATCTTATATTCATAGTTATATGATATTTTAGTTTTTACGTCGAAATATAAAAATTTTACATTTCGTTCTTCCATTTGGAGTCTGTCTACATTTTTCTTCTTCATCAGGATTGACGACTACAGTACCAGATGATCGCACCTTTGACCACGTCTGGTTTGGTCTATTTATATCACCAATCAGCTTTGCACCCATTGTTGTATTTCGATTTCAGAAGGAGAGAATAAAATTGCAGGCTGCAAAGCATTTCATATTACTCCTAATAAAAAAAAAGAAAAATAAAGCAAGCTGGAGCTCTGCGTACATTCCAAGTAACGGCCTAATTAAGCTAAAACCATGCTCAAGTTATTGTTAGGATATATAATAAAAAATCAAATGCTGAGGATATTGAATAAGGATTTTTGGCGCAATAGAAATTGTAGCTTATTTTGCAATTTTTTACTTTGCCACTTTAAATTATTATTACTATATTCTACTTCTGTTCATAACGTTGCATAGTTCATATTATTGGATTGATTAAAAATGTCTTAAAAATAAGATTTGATTTAAAAGTGGATAATTTTTGACTTCGTTTTTTTTTTCACTTTCTTTTTGAGTTCAAACAACAATTCAAGTCAATTTATCTCTCATATATCTTTATCTCTCATATTTCCGTGGTGATATTTAAGCACCCCTTAAGTAAGGTGACATAATACACTTTTTTATTGTATTTGTTGTGTGTCAAATTTGATGGTAATTATTTACTCGTAATATAAAAGCAGATTAATTAAGTAGCAGGTATCCATTGGCATCCTTTTATGACAACGATTCAGAATAGTAGAAACGTATGAAAGGGTGAAAAAATTATGTCACGTGAAGAAAATTTCAATTATTTAAATTAAAATTTAATGATGTATATTGGAGTTTTGTGTCACATTATTTTTTAATTTCAGGAAAGGTCACGGTGGCCGATCTTTTGGCTGCCAATACTTATGGCGGCGTCGGTCTGCGGCAGTGATATCCTCATGATAACTATGGGCGGTACGAAATCACATAAAATGCCGTTTTGGGAACTCGCCAGAGGAATGATTCGAAGGTATTCAATTTTATTTTCTAAAGTTAATGTAAAATTTAAAATACAACAACGATGTTAGACATCTATGCCGGCACAGTACGAAGTACGTAGAAGTATCTAGTAGAACACAGATAAAAAATATACGTAATTGGAAATTAATGTCTTTCTGTCTAATTATCGATCATGGCAACAATTTTCGAATAATAAGCTAAAAATTAACAATGAGTATCTTCACAAAAATGTTGGCCCGAATTGGGATTCCTATCCAAGATATAAAATTATTTACTGTGCTTAAGATCCGAGATATAATATATTATTTCTACGTAGCGGGATTCATTTTCTGTATACGAGTAGAAGTCCGTCTGATATTATTCGTCTGATATATTAGTATGTAAAGTAGGTAGTAGGTACACCCGCAGGTAACGGTACCTATATCTGCCTCTCCCTCTCATCTCTCCAGTTTGAATCAACATAAAGAATAAAAAAATAAAAGATGCACATATCCATAGATTATTACGTTGTGAACCATGTGATTAATAATTTATCATAATAAACTTAGTCTTGTTATTTCTTTGCTATTTATTGCTCGCCCTGTCCAATAAACATAAACTCTGAAATTGCGCAACTACTACGTAGTAATATTCGTAATAAATGACATCGTGATATAATTATAATTCATGGCCTGATTTGACTTTTCATTATCCCTTTGCGCGGTACAATTCCCGTAATCATAATGACGTCATTAATCTCTTGGTTCATAACAAATATACTAGCATATATTTTTACAGTGTTATTCGTGTGTATCGTTCAAACTTTTTTATAAATCAGAAATATAATAGTGAAGACAAAAGAAATAATTTTTACTATAACTTATGGTTCCTTTCCAGAGGTCATAACATTACATTAATGAGTGCATTTCCACCTGACTTTCACATACCTGGCTTAGAGGAGATCGCGCCGGAGGGATTGGCTTCATATGTCCGCGGCTATATGACATTCGACTTGGTCGGCGCTCGGATGAGAGGAGAAGAACCTCTTCCTTTATATGACATTCTCCGATATGGATACGAGGTAAAAGGTCTCGAAAGAATGTGGAAGATATTAAACATAATATTTGAATACATAGAGATTAAGTTTAAATACTTTCGATTTTTCGCAAAAAATTAATACTTAGATAGCTTTATTTATTTAATTTTTTTCATTATTGAAAGATTACACCGCTGCAGTTTCTTTTTATCGAAGCACATAGTCCACATCACAGAAATAGTAATAATAATACAATAGAAATGAATTAGCGCTCGATTACTTCCAAAACCGATGTCGCCACATCTTACCGTATTATAAACATATGCAATGCACAATGATATCTAATGTTTCACATTACATTTCTCGGCGAGTATGTCAACGTCGCGTGCGTTGCGTATTACGGTAGAACAAAAGCAGCAATGGTAATTATACAATACGAAAAGTAATAAATGAAAGTTTACAAATGTAAATATCATAGTAAAGTATTCATCTAGATGTAAATTAGTTAAAACAATGATAATTGGTAAATAATCAACTTACCGATGAAATTTTATGCCTTTATTAGTTGAATTACACATCCTTGATGAGTTTTTACAACTGATTATGCTGCAGTTAACCGTTGTAAATGTATAATAATTTAAATTCACGTACGACGTTCCCCGCGCAACTAAATCACAAAATAGTGAATGATGTCCGTCACCACACCATAGCGGCGACAAGGTCACGCGTCTATGCGACTTCTGTAGTCTTATTATTACGACTTCTGTGGTCCACATAGTGTCTACATCTATCCTCAATTAAGAACCAAAGTTGACCATCTCACTCTTGAGGACTAAGATGTAATGTCTCGTTAAAATTAAAAAGGGTCTCCGGTTTTTGCTAGTCACCAAACGAAACACAGTGGCTGCTGTTTTGGCAGAAAAAAGCGCTAGCAAGCGCTTATAAGCGCTAGAATAGTTTTCGGCCAGGACACGATTGCTACTTCAGTAGCGCTGACACAATCCGCCATTTTGCTTATTTAATTTGTTTGTTTTGAAGTAGTTTATAAGTTCTTTTGTGCAATATTAGTTTTAAGTAATATAATGACATGAATAAACATATACATGTTATTAAAAATTCATGATTGGTAAGTTTTTAATATGAATACTTTACAAACATATATTTAAATTAGGTTAGGTTCCCCGGTTAAAACTAACATCGTGTCCTAGAGGAAAATAGCTACTTACGCTTTGACAGCACTTACCGCTTACGATCGCCATTTTGTTTACAAGCGCTTGCTAGCGCTTTTTTCTGCCAAACGCACCCAGTGGCTGCTGTTTTTGGCTGGTTCTCTGTGTAAGTGTCATCCTTCCCGGTTGGACTGACCTATTCTTGTAGCAGCTATGATTCGCTGCAGCATGGCTTTACCACGTAAAAAAGGTGGATTAGGGAATCTTGTGCGATAAAATTTTTGTTTTATTTGTTTTTAAATTTGCCTATGTTCATCGTCGAGAACGTTATGGAAAATATAGACTGTACAACTATATATATCTATGGCATGACAAAAATTTACTTTCTGCCACTGTCCAAACTAAATATAAAGCTCTTTCATGTTGGAGGATTACTCAATCTTAATAAACGACAAAATGTTTTACTATTGTTATTGAAGGACACTTGCCTTTGAAGTTTGATAAATGTATTCAGTCTGAATTTTTTGAGCTTTGTGAGTTCAAGTCAAGTTACATTTTCTGTTTTGTTTTTGGTTAACTTTTAACGAGAACAAGATACGACGACTTTTAACGACAACGAAACGAGATAAGCTGGTTTGACCTTTATTATTTTCTACTACATCAGCATTTATAAGACCACAGATGGACAAGCGCCGATCCCGCTATAAGAAAGATTGTCGTAAAAAGAAAGACGGCGTAAAACAGATGGTTATATTTCATCTTACGACACCCACGCTTCGAAATGGGATGATTCACTTAAAGTTACAGCCTATATACGTCCTACTGCTGGGCACAAGCCTCCTTTCATTTCTGAGAGAGCTTTTGGGGTAAGCAAGTGTCCACCGCGCTGCCCACATGCGTGTTGGCGAACTTCACATGTCTTCGAAAGGTTTTTTCTTTTTCCTCAGACGTGCAGGTATCCTCACGATGTTTTCCTTCAACGCCGAGCACGTGGTAAATCAGCACTTAAAATTGCAATTAACAACTTCATTGGTGCCAGCGGGGATTGAGCCCGGGTTACTCGCGTACTGTGATATTTACAGCGAGCGTTAACCATCCGAGCTACCACGGCGCTCGGTTTCATTTACACACAGTCGTACGACAAAAAGTCGTTTTTATTTTTTTAAATTTATTTAGGGTATTCATAAAGGTATATAACACTACATTTTGTCTAATGATTCATATTCTAATGCCGATCACTCACATAAGTGCAAAGATTTCTATCCGTAATATGTATATCTAAAAGCCTTGCGTATGAAATACAGATACCCTTCACATATTTACATTTACAAATTTATATATGCACAGGCCCTTATGAAATAAAATAGACATGCAAATGTCATTCTACTCGGTATCATGAGCAATGGATGATGAAAGCTAATAAAAATTGTTGATTATTAGACACTCGATCTTATTTGGTAAATAACATAAATTATGAAAATACCAAGAGTAGCAAATTTTAATATAATCATTTCCAGTAAAAAGGATCTTCGGATCTTTACACTCACCATACGAAACACCGCAAGTATTAAGCTGCAAAAATATATATATATATATATATATATATATATATATATATATATATATATTTATAGAGACATTCCATCTCAAAAATCTAAACATTAACGCAATTATTATTTAGATTTCTGTGCATTCCATCTTTGTAGTCAGGGCTAACAACGCATCTGCGTTTTGATTCTTAATCGAAGATAAAAATGTAGATGGACTATGTGCTCGTTTGTCACACTTATTCTATAAATAAAAAAAATAATCATATTAAATACATAATTTATAATATCCAATCATACATAAGCAGAAACATTTAAATAAGAAAGTTAGCTAAGTTAAATGATGGATAGATAAAATTAATATAAAATAATTATATAATAATAAACATGTCATCTATGCATGACAAATAGGTCGTATTTTGGGACTACTAAATCAAATGTAGACTTAAATAATAACATGAAATAATGTTTCCCAGGCATGTGACGAGTTCCTCAATGACTTCGAGACAAGATCCTTCCTTCGATCTGGAAGAACCTATGATCTTATCATACTTGATGGAGCATACCCTGAGTGCGCATTGGGAGTGGTTTATCGACTGAAAGTACCTTTCATGTACATCAACACTGTTGGCTTCTATTCTGGACCAGCGAGTATGTCCGGAAGCCCAGCTCCTTACTCCGTCACGCCATTTTTTGGAAGAGCATTCACGGATAACATGGGTTTTGTAGACAGGGCTTTGAATGCAGCCTGGCACATAGGATCCTTGGCGGCACATCGGTTCAGTATGACCATACTTCAAGGCGTCTTACGAAAACACTTTGGACAACAGATCCCCCATGTTTATGATATGGCCAAGAACGTGAGCTTTATTCTTCAGAATGGACATTACTCTGTGTCTTATCCTCGTCCATACTTACCAAATGTTGCTGAAGTCGCTTGTATCCATTGTAAGGAACCGAAGAGATTGAATGCCGTGAGTATCTTTTGTTTCTGTCACAATACAGAAAAATGTAAGCGTTTCATTAATATTATTAATCGTTTGGCAAACGTTCATATTTCGACGTCAGACGCTATGGCTCTAGATGTATTTTTTTCTCTTTCAAATACTTTAAATAGTAATTAGTTAATCTAGGTTAAGTCCTAGTATGTATGTTTTTTATAGAATATAGGTGACAAACAAGCACACAGTCTACCTGAAGGTAAGTGGATGCAGTGGCCCATAGACATCTAAATTTATCCTGATGCGTTGTCACCCCTGAGGACTAAGGTGAAATACCTCGTTTCCAGTAAAAAGGATCTTCGATTGTTTACACTTACCATACATAACACATTTAGCTGCTATTTGACGCTGGTATTCTGTGTTATATATATATATATATATATATATATATATATATATATATATATATATATATATATATATATAGAACACAACCCAACATGGGCCTATCACAGGTTGTGGTATAAATGGCGATACCTGGCAACTGCCATGCTTGGTGGGTGGGTTACCAACTGGACTTTTTATTGCGTTGTTATCAAAAATATGCTTTTGCCCACTTCTGTTTCATTTTCGGTTATTGCCTCTTATGACACCAACTGGATGATATGTGGTTGTGGATTCCCTTACACATCAAAGACAATGCCTCTATATATCGGATAGAGGTTAGAAAAATACAAACTTATTCTATGAATTATTATGGGTGCACTAAATACTGACGGAATGGGATATGAGACTACACAATACGAAAAGAGTGTATAGTAGTCCCATACATTACGTGTGTTATGGTAGCCTTTGAAGTTGATATTTTTGTTAAAAAACGTAAATGTATTACAATGTCTGCATGTAAACTTAGCCTTAAAGTATTTGTCGTGGCAGTGTAAGAATATCCACTACCCCATATCATCCCGAGGTTGTCGTAAGAGGCGACAGAGGGAAACAAAAGCAGATGGGCAGCAGTGTTTTCTTATAAAGACTAAGAATAAAAAATCATATGTGGTAGAGCCACGCTGCAGTAATATTGTTGCGCGCCTAAGTTGACGTCATGTACCCGGCACTAGCGCCATCTAGTGTCGGGGACGAGAGCGAGGGGAGCTTTCCAGAAAATGACATCACTAATCTCAACCGACAGCGCCATCTAGTACCGAAACGAAGGACTAAGGCTTCTAGAAGCCGACACTCGAACTTTCGACGCCTTGCGCGGCGTATCTACTTGAATGTTCTGGATGTTTCGGTGCTAATGTGTATTTATAGGCGCTGCAAAGTGCGATCGGGGAAGTATTGAATTTGGCGAGACAAGCGAAGCTTCGGAGCGAAATAAAGTGAATCAGTGTGATTAATTATTAGTGTTTTAAGTTTAATTAGTGTAAAGTGAATTAAAGTGTTAATTTTAGTAATTCTATAGGCAATTTTTATTGTCACGAACCCTAAGCTCGTAACAATATTATGGTTGTAGTACGAATGGGTCAGCTCAACCGGGGAAGGACCACGCTCTCACAGAATACCAGCGTAAAATAGCAGCTTAATACTGTTGTGTTTCGTGTAACGAGTGTAGAGATCCGGAGATCCTTTTTTACTGGAAACGAAACATTCCATCTTACTCCTCAGGGGTGACAACGTTTCATTACATCTACATTTATCCTCGATTAAGAATCAAATCTACGTTTTGATTCTTAATCGAGGATAAATGTACGTAGGCGGTCCCATTATGAATTGGCCTAACTATGAACCAATGAAGGAAATGAAACGAAACTAATTTTATTTTTCAATATAATCACCATGAATACTAACACACTTCTTACATCTGTGAATCAACATCTCTAAACCTTTATAAAAATAATCACATTTTTTATCCTCAAAATGACTGAAGACGGCCGCCTGCAACTCTTCATCGCTTAAAAATTTTCTTCCTCTTAAGTCCCGCTTTAAATTTCGAAATAAATAATAGTTGGACGGGGCTATGTCTGGACTGTAAGGTGGATGTTGAACTTCTGTGAACCCGCATTGACGAACTGCATCCTTCGAAACACCAGCGGTATGAACAGGGGCGTTGTCATGGAGCAACAGGACACCTTTAGACAGCTTGCCTCTTCGTTTTTTCTTTATCTTGTCTCGTAATTTATATATTAAAGAAGCAAAATATTCGCCGTTCACGACTGTATTACGTTCTTTAAAATTCACCATCAAAATGCCTTGAAAATCCCAAAATATTGTGCACATCAGTTTTTTAGTCGGTTGTTGCACCTTTGCCTTTCTAAGGGGCTTTTCACCCTTATAACGCCATTCCATTGACTCGCGCTTGCTTTGTAGATGATGATACAAGATCATAGTTTCATCACCAGTCACTAGCCGCTCGATCACAGTCTTTGGATTTTCGCCACAAAGATCCAAAAACTCCGAAGCGCAGCGCACTCTTTCCTGTCTCTGTACTGCTGAAAGAAGTTTCGGTACCCATCTTGCACTCACTTTTTTCATGTGAAGATGTTCATGGATCGCGCGATAAATGGTACTCTTAGAAAGCCCAAGCCTTGCTGCAATTTCTCTAATCTTCCAACGACGGTCACTCAGAACCTCCTCTTCGATAAGATCAATCGTTTCGGGAGTGAGCACTTCCACAGGTCGACCGTCGTGGCCAAAGTCTTCGACGGTTTCTCTCCCGAGGCGAAACTCTTTCACCCAATTTTTCACTGTGCTATAGGAGGGGGCAGACTCCTTATACACGCCATCCAATCGTTCTTTTATTTGGGCAGGGGATAAAACTTCTTTAAACAGAAATTTTATGACACTTCGATACTCAGTTTTCGACATTTTGAAAAAATACGCGACTCTCGTTATTCAAATGCCTGTTAAACTAAGACTAAGCATTTCATGTCGATGCATGTTTCTTATATTAAGTGCACGATAAACGTACTATTTAATGCAACACAACATGTAGCGACATGTCGCGTTGAACTATATCAGGCCAGTTCATTATGGGACCGCCTGGTAGATGTCAATAAGCCACAGCATCCACTTACCATCAGGTGAATTGTGTGCGCGTTTGTCACCCTTATTCTATAAGAAAAATGCATCTTAACAAGCTGCTACCCACAGCTCCGTCTATTTGGAAATACAACACTTTTTTTAAAAGTTGTAAACGTACGTACGTAATCCTATGGACATGATCTATCTATGTACCAAATTTTATTATAACCACATTGCAGTAGTTACACGTAATCAAATAACAGGCATCACAACTACTTTTAGAACTTTCACATATATGATATTAGTACAGGTGTTATACTGTACACACACACACACACACACACACACACACACACACACACACACACACACACACACACACACACACACACACCACACACAAACGCACGCGCGCGCGCACACGCACATGAACACGAACTCGCACACGCACACGCACACGCACACGCACAGCACACACACACACACACACACACACACATAAATTCGTTTCTAGTTCATGCGCTTACGTATAAATTAGTTTCTAGTTCTTTTAATTAGTTTTTCTTTTGTACTACACTACTATTGTCACTTTACTTACAAAAACAGTAATTCTACAAATCATATCGTCGCACGAAGTATATTGTACTAAAGTTAAAGGTATGTTGATAAATGTTACATTAAGGGACGAGAGTCTGGTGATTAGTCATAAAGGTCTTTCCTAGTACTAACACAAGGCTCTCACTAATTAAATTGGCTATACTTCCAATAGTATTATTATAGGGCAATGTAAACTTGTGAGAGCAAATAAAAATTATTATTATTATTGTTTAAATCAGGCCATTGAAGAATGGATCGCCGGTGCAGGCGACGCTGGGTTTGTCTACGTTTCTATGGGATCTTCTGTGAGGACCAACAAAATGCCACTTGCCGCTCATCATATGATCGTCAAAGCTTTAGGTCGCTTACCGCAGAGAGTTCTCTGGAAACAGGACGCGGAGCAAAACCTAACGGACATTCCATCTAATGTGAGACTTTACAAATGGCTGCCGCAACAAGATTTACTTGGTAAGCAATGTTTGGCTGAAGATCATTTCTAGCAGTATTAGAGATAAATCCATATTTTATATTGTTGTCGTTAAAAGAGGATAAATTCACTTTAAAAAAATCAGCATCAAGCAATCAAGCATTCTTTACTTTGGCAAAGTTGCAACTTTGTCCATTGTGAAATACAATGTGTGATGTTTAATTTCGGTCTTGGAAACAAGAAAGGGGAGAAAATGGAATAAAACTATATTTACGGATTTTATCGCGTTTCATCAACTATTTTAAATAAGTTTTTAATTTAAAAAACGTTTCGGGTATGAAAAACTAAGTATTAAAATAGTTAAAAATTAAACGCGATAAGATCTGTAAATATAGTTTTATTCAATGTGTAATGTTCGCTTAAATTTAAGAAATCATTAAGTGGAGAAAAATAAAAAAATATTTTTCTCCTTTTTCTATATAATCGGCCAGTAATAACATACTGTATAATCATTTAGGATTTATAATTTAAAGTATAAGTTATAGCCAATATACGTTCACCTGCATGGCATAAATCTCTTCTTATTCCTGAGAAGGTTTAGTAAGCTTAGCGCTCGTCGCATATATCACAGTAAACGAGCCACCCGGGTTCGATCCCCACCAGCATTAATTAAATTGTTAATAACAATTACTTGAAGGACTGATTTAATACGTGCTCGGATGTTGTAGGAAAACATCGCAAGGCAGGTTGCCTATCCAAGAAATTAAAATAACAGATAATTCGAAGATGTGTGAAATCTATAATGAATTTCGCAGTTAAAAGTGGTTTTCACTGGTTAAGAAATTTGACTGTAACACACACATATATATGTGCGTGTGTGTGTGAGTTATATATATATATATATATATATATATATATATATATATATATATCTGAAATGCAAGTTTCCTCACGAGCCGCCGAGCACGTAGTAAATTAATGCTAAAAATTGCAACGTACAATTTTACTGCCGTCAGCGGGGATCGAATCCGGGAGCTCCAATTGATCTATGATATATTGTGTAATATTCACTAATAAAAAGCTATCCCTATAAATTCGCAAGACAGTTGCAGTAATGAAATATTCATGTTTGGGCTGTTGTATAATTCATCACGTTATTAATCTTTTAGTGCATTGGTATTCTGCAAACCTTGCATGATAATTTTAATACAGGACCCTGAGCCTGTTTTGCCTAATAGTGTGTAATATGCATTCACATAGCAGTAGAGTCTAGTTTGAATGCGGTCATAGCTTCAAATTGCTTATCGCAATGGATTTTTATAGTAATATAAACTATTATAGTTAATGGGGCGTGTTAGCTTAGAATGAAGCGCCCGAACTAAATTTCGTAGAACGCGAGCAATTCAAGTTCGATCCCCGCCGGTATCAATGAAATTAATTATATAGTTGATTACTATTATTGCAATTTTTTGTCGACTCCGGTTATCTAAGCTCGCCAAACGAAACACAGGGGAATAAATCTGCTACTTTACGCCATTTTTGTTTTGGTGTTAATAGCGTGATTCTTTCCCAGTCGAACATAATAGACAAAAATAACAATTGTATATTAAAATCGTGTTAGATTTTTAGCAATAACGACTGCATCGCGGTCACATATCAACGATCAAACGTGTCAAGTAAACGCAATAAAATGTTGGTTACATGTTAAATACTAACCTAATAAAAAAAAAAAAAGTTTAGTGATTGCGATCGTTTAAAAACGCGTTGTATTTATAACGGTATCGTTATGTCATAGTATTATGCGGACTGACCGATTTCGTTATTGACCCGTTAGAATAATTCGTGATGCAAGGCTCTAAATATACGAGTAAACGATGAGTAAGCTTTTGCCGCATTTGTCTAGTAGTCATAAGCGCGAGTATGATCATGAAGTCCCAAGTTTGAATCACGGGTCGGACCAATTTATTGGGATTTTCCCAAGAAATTAGCTCGAGAGTTAGGAAGTTGGCTATGCTCACCCCTGTGATTTCGAAAGCACATTAAGTTGATAATTAAGTTGGTCCTGTGCCTGAACTCTCTCTCCGTCTCTCTATGTATAAGTCGTAAAATTTCCATCATAAATTGTACTAATCGTGTAAATTAACATTTTTCATTCCAGGTCACCCTAAGATAAAAGCTTTCGTGACCCATGGTGGTCTGCTAAGTATGTTCGAGACGGTCTACCATGGAGTGCCAATTGTGTCAATCCCAGTCTTCTGCGATCATGAAGCCAATGCCGCTAAAGCCGAGGTCGATGGTTACGCGAAAATTCTCGATCTGCAGCATTTGACCTCTGATAAACTATACAGAGCAATAAAAGAAGTTATTGATGAGCCTAAATATAAAATAGAAGTGAAAAAGAGGCAGATATTGTTGAGGGATCAGAAGGAGACGCCTCTGGAGAGGGCAATATATTGGACCGAGTACGTCATCAGACACAAAGGGGCGTATCATTTACTGTCACCAGCGAAAGATTTGAACTTCCTCCAGTACTACTTATTAGATGTTGCGTTCGTATTTTTTGTGATATTAATAACAATTTCAGTCCTTATTTCCTACGTGATAAGGCGCAGTTTTAAGCGGCTAGTTGATTATGTACAAAGCTGGCGCATGAAGAAGCTGATCGCTAAATCGAACGACCTGTTGAAAAACTCGAAAAAGTTTATCGACCCCACTTCAATAGCTAAGAAAAATCTGTAGTCACTGTATACGCGTTTAGGTTATTATTTATGAATAATAGTTACCAAGAGAGTTACCATGTGAGATTGTTATAATTACCACTAATTTAAGGTGATTTGAGTTTAAAATTTAGAAGTTTGCTTTTGAAGATATTAAATAAAGTGTAAATGTGCAGGGATTGTTTTGTAGAGATTGTAAATATTTAATGTATTTAGTGCAGTAAGAATTTGATAAAATACATATTTATACAAATTGCGAGGTTTTTTTACTTTCCTGATGCACATGGAAAGTATAATATTTCTCAAGATCGATTAAAATAAAAGTAAGAATGAGAAATGAGCGTACAGTCTACCTGATTGTAAGTGGATGCAGTAGATGTATTCCTTTCTCTCCTTAATTTATTTTATATGAAACTTCAGTATAAGACGGAATTATGCTTGGAATTTTACCTGATACAATGTGTGTTAATATTTATCGGGATGACGTCGTCGGGAACAGGAATAAACTTGTGTCTGAAGTCGCGGACTAGGGCGGCTTAGTCTAGTCCAGTTTAACCATAAAAATGCAGGCACTTCGACGATATATCGAATGACGTACAGATCTGCAATCACTTGGAAAGAAAGGCTAAACTGGCCTCTGAATAGCTTAATTTACTCAGATAATCGGTATGATATTTTATACCGGCCTAACGCTTGAACTTTACAAAGCGCATGTTCAGCCTCATGTGGAATGCTGTTCCCATCTCTGGGATGGGGCACCTTAGGAGCAGCTTTTATCACTTGACCGTGTTCAATGAAGAGCGGTCCGAAATGTTTTATCCAATTGGCGATCAAGCCACTGGCCTTGTGCAGAGCATCTTCCGTCTCTACTATGGGGAGTGGTCACATTCTGAAATTACTATAGACAGCAGTATTTTTTAGACCACTATGGTTTAGGGTCCTACAAAAGATGCTTTCTTCTTTGAAAAAATCCGCCAAAGCAACAGTAATTTTTCTGGTGTTGTAGATATTCATGGGCGACCACTATTTGGGTGAGCTGTATAGTTGTTTGCCTTTCCTTAAAAAGAAACTTCTATGAATGTCAAAATGTGAAAGCATCATTTAATGTCGCTTCCTAAATATTGCTAAACTGCCATTGCCCTAGAAATTAAAACTATTAATTATTCAGTTCTTTAAAAAAATTAAATGATGGTGCTTAAATTAAAACATAAGCAGCATATACACAAGCTACGTTTTAATACACGGAGCATAGGTGAAGCTGGCTTTTTTTAATAATCGGAGAGGCAGCTGGTATCATTATTAATAGGTTGAATATTAACATGTTCATATATTATAATTATTAAACGCAGTAAAATGTGTTGACACGTTGTTTATTATATTTAAATATAATTGAAGTGTCTGTCTGTCTTTCGTTTGGTTTTTTGCAGCTGGATAAGCAACCATAATGGTTGTAGCACGAATGGGTCGACGTCAAACGAGGTAGGACCACCATATATTACGTACACGTAAAATAGCAGATAAATGCTGATGTGTTTCGTATGGTGAGTATAGAGAACCGGAGAATTCAGAACAGACCAAAATCAATGCCGGGTGTGATCTATGCTATATTTTATTCGGAAAACATGCTTTGATTTTTTTAGCATAACCGGAAAACTGATGAAACAAATGCTATGTGATTATTATTTCCTAAACTATAAGTGATAGTAATTCGGCACATATCTTAATCCTTAAAAGTTTTGATACAAAATCGCTTTTTAAAATTTTTTTTTACTTCTCAACTATTTCACAAAAACTTTAGTATCACGGAACAAATTAAGACTTTATATATATAAAATCAATAGATCTTCAATATTTATTGAAAACATTTTGTAATATCGCATATAGTTTTAAAAATTAATTCAAAAACTAAATTTAAGCTGGTTTTTGGATAATTGAACTATTTACACTATTATAGATCTGCAAGTTTTTTTTTGTTTAGGTGGAGCGCGGTCTAAGTCCTGGGTTAAATCTACTATTACTATATTTCGAGTACCAATCTTCCAAACTGAGTTTCGGTCAAGGTTCTCAATGGAGACTAGTCATTTAGATTCAATAGTCATTTGCTGTGGACAGCCTTAGAATGCACAAGTGTGAGCATATGTAATGGTTATTCTATATCCTTTCTCCGATGAGACGGCAATCCAACTAGGCCGGAAGGAGATCAGGCGCAGGATCAACAACTTCTTTACGTATTTTCCGAGGTACGGTCGTGAAACATCACCTACTTCCTGATTTGGGGCGGCTGTTGGGATTTTCTTGACAGAAAATCTCCTTGTTCTCCAAAACAATGGAGTCCATTGTAAACTGCCAGCTCATGAGGTACCTTGAGGATCACCAGCTGATTAGTGACCGCCAATACGGTTTTCGCCGTGGTAGGTCAGCTGGTGATCTTCTGGTCTACCTAACTCACAGATGGGCGGAGGCAGTAGAGTCCAAGGGGGAGGCTAGTTTGGACATTGCGAAGGCCTTCGATCGGGTTTGGCACAAAGCGCTTCTTTCGAAGCTCCCTTCCTATGGGCTTCCCGAGAAATTGTGCGATTGGATCACCAGTTTTCTTGCAGATCGGAGCATCAAGGTCGTTGTAGACGGTGCAAGCTCCGATTGCAAGATTATTAATGCTGGTGTTCCACAGGGCTGCGTGCTATCGCCAACGCTGTTTCTTCTGCATATCAATGATATGTTGCAAACCCGTAGCATTCATTGCTATGCAGATGACAGCACTGGTGATGCTCTTTACACCGGCCGAGCCAATATTTCTCGGGAAAACGTCTCTGAGTGCCGGGACAAACTTGTGTCTGAAGTCGAGTCTCTGCTGGACAGAGTCTCGGATTTGGGGGCGACTAAAACTAGTCCAGTTTAACCCCCAGAAGACACAAGTTTGCGCGTTAACCGCTAAAAAGAACCCCTTTGTCGTATCCCCTCAGTTTCAAGGCACTCCCCTTGTTGCCTCAGCCAGTATCGGAATCCTCGGCGTCAACATATCGAGTGACGTGCAGTTTCGTGGTCACTTGGAAGGGAAGGCCAAATTGGCCTCTAAAAAGCTTGGCGTGCTCAACAGAGCGGGACAGTATTTCATGCCGGCACACCGCCTGCAACTTTACAAGGCGCAGGTTCGGCCGCTCATGGAATACTGTTCCCATCTCTGGGCTGGGGCTCCCCAGTACCAGCTTCTTCCACTTGACCGCATCCAGCGCAGAGCGGCTCGAATCGTCGACGACCAAGTGCTTTCCGATCGGCTCGATTCACTGGCGCTGCGAAGAGATGTTGCATCTCTTTGCGTATTTTATCGCATCTATCACGGGGAGTGCTCTGAGGAATTGTTCGGATTAATCCCAGCCGCCAAATTCCGTGAACGCACTACACGGCAAACGTCCCGATACCATCCACACCATCTGGATGCTTGGCGGTCCACCACTGTACGTTTCAAAAGGAGTTTTCTTCCGCGTACAACCTCTCTGTGGAATAATTTACCACCGGTGATTTTTCCGGACCGATACGACCTGGGGACCTTCAAGAAAAGAGCTTACTCCTTTCTAAAGGGCCGGCAACGCACCTGCAATTCCCCTGGTGTTGCGGTTGATCATGGGCGGCGGTAGTCACTTAACATCAGGTGAGCCACATGCTCGTTTGCCCCCTCTTCTATATAAAAAAAAAAACACATTAGGAGAGTTTTTGGCCGAGGGCGTGATTCGAACACAGAACCACATCATAAGCTGACGTGCTTACGTCTACTAGATCGACGAGGCAGTCGTATTCCTATGTACTATTAATATTGAATGTACATAATATATACCTACGTGCCACGGCAATCAATATGCTAAAAGATTTGTAACGCTTTATAAGCTATGTATAGCTCAAATAGTTATTTAAACATCGTCGTCATCAGCATTACAGTCCATCACAAGTCTACTACTGAACATTAAGCTCCCCCATAGAATGCCAAAAAGCAAGGTTGTTTATTATTTGTTAGCTATTTATTTATATACGACATATTTGTGCTCGAAAGTTTTTACAATACAATTTTAGCTTGTTTCTAATCTATTCTATCAAGATTCAAAACGCCGCGAGAGATCGCCCGCATCATACTCGTAACGCATCGCATCACTTGTCTGTTTGGTTGCAGTAAGCCACAGCTCTTTGTCACGAACGTTTGCTAATGTTACCGTGTCAAGTGTATATGCTATTAAGAGCGAACATTAAAGTCTTAGTAGAACATTAATATGAATTAAGTTTACGTAGTTATTACGTAGGCAAATAAATTGAACCTTAAACATTAAATGCCAGCGTTTAGTATCGTGATTTGTTGAATATAGGCGCCTGTCAAGTGTTTAACCGCAAAACAGGTTTTTATTGTAAAATTGCGGTTTATGAGAAAGTATTGTAAAAGTTGCTTTGAATCATAATTTCTAAATACATCTATCCATCCATATACGACCTATCAAAGTCCTTTGCTGAACCCTCCCTCATATAATTGCCGACGATTGGCAAGCTGGTTCGCACAGTAGCCAAATAAATACATTGTCTGCATTTGGGTTATTACCAAGGTTTACCATTACCAAGTAAATGGACCAAGTATTTGTATGGCCTATAAATAACTGTCCCAAGTCTGGAAATGTTCCCTTGTGCAATTATACGTATCAACTGTCTCGGCGATACAGGAGAAAGCGCTAGTGGGGGTAACTTTAAATAAAAGTTACGTTACCAGCGGCGACGAGCTGCCATAACTTTCTTTAGAAACTCCACTGCGCGTGGACTCCACGAATCTTTAGGCTCAACATAAAATGGCACAAACAAATTATCAATTTTCAATATTCTCTTATTTGCTTTGAAGCCCGGCTCTTAGCTAGGTACCCTTGAGATTATAGGCTGCCAAAGTGTCTACGCCCGCATCTTACAAGTATTGTACCTATTTTTCAAAGGATCAAAGTTATTCAATTGGGTCTCTTGTTTAACGTCTTTAAATATTCTACTAATGGAAGATTT